ACTCAGTGCTTTCTCCCAGGAATGAAGGCAGAAGAAAAACATGCAGTGGAAGACCTGCCTTCTGATTTCATAGATTTGGGGATATGAGATCAGCTCTGCAGATCTAAGAGCAGGATTTTCCCTTTGGTCTTTGCATCTTGGCTGAGTGGCTAAACCACTTGGCCTGCATGTAACAACCTAATCCATGACCTCCTGCCGTACAGCAGGCAGCCTGAGGTTTCTTCTCAACAGAGCTTTAAATTACTAAGTTTGTTAGAACAAGTGGCTAAATCAGAATAGACACTGCCTTATCTAACTGATTGCATTTGGAATGGTTCCATGCTTCACAGTGCTTTACAAATGCTTTTATAAAGAGTTTAAGCAAAAGACAGCTACCAAAGGATAAGCTGTTTCTGAAGACATTTGGCTCTTGCAGCTAATTTATTTGCCAAAGAAAACTCTGTGTTCCAATTCTGTGAGAACCACTGGAAACATTTCTCCTGCTGTTGCCTGCTCTGCTCTGCTTTTTCAAGCAAGTGCCTATTGTCTTCACTAAGCAGGAAATCTTTTCTATAGTCTCTCTCTCTCCTTTTTTATTTTTTTTTTTTTATTTTTATTTTTTTTTCCCCATAAGGCTGCTTCTTCTACTTCCCCACTTTTCCTTTCGCACATAATAGAATTCTGTTGCTATCAACTTTATCTCCTTCTTTATTGTTTTGCATTTCAGCCAAAAGTCTTCACAGAAACCTTTTTTGCCTTTGAAAATGATGACAGTTGAAGAGGAGGCATTTTCACATAATCACCATCTGTATACTAAATAGCACCTACGGTTTTGTACAAAGCACTGCCTTATGTCCTGGCTGCTGGAAGTTGCACACCAGACATCAACATATATATGTGAAGTAAACATAAAATATGGGATGTGATAACATTTGATAAAATGAAAGATCATTTTTTAAGCTCTATTACTGCAAAAACTGTGTATGTTTAAATAACCAAATTCTTGCATCTACATGTACTCAAGAGAGCACAAATCCAGTTTTTAAACAATTTAACCAAACTCTATAATAAGCTATAGTTTAAAGTGATTTGTGTTATCTAAGCATAGTTGTGTCATGGAAGAATATTATTCTGTCTTCATGTCTAGGGACACACACACTCCAAATTGCTTCATGTTAAAGCAATGAAGAAAAATATTTTAAAACTTTTTCCTTCTCCAGCTAATAAATCTTTTGATAGCTAATTTTTTAGGGGTATGCAGCAGGAAAGAGCAGTCAGAAAGGAAGAAGTTTCAAACTCTCTGAAGTTCCTAAGTTCTGTTTATCTGCAACCTCACCCAGAGATGTTTAAAATAAGCATTGAAACATTTCCTGTCACATTTTCTTATCCCTGTATGGTAAATTCTTCCCACCTATACGAATGCCTCATAAGAAAGCTTTGTTTTAGTGGCAGGAGATAAAGTCCTCTTAAGAGATTGCCTTTGAATTTCTATTATTAAAAAGACTTGAAGCGATAAACCTGTTCCCATTAATTGATTACAGACTACATGAATTCTTACCCCATTAATAATGTTTGCATTGTGTAATATTAAATGCAAAATTCAGGTTCTAACTGACGTGTTCAATGCCCATCACCCCACCCTATCTTCAAAGTTGTTCCTGGGTGTACAGTTTGGCACATGGTTTCTTTCCAATCTCACTCCAAAGCACACTGCCTTCAAAGCTGCTGCTCCGAAGTGACTCGAGTATAAGACAAAGCAAATTCAGACACAGATATTCATTAAGAATTCAATTTTAATTTACACAGAATCATGGAACAGCTCAGGTTGGAAGGGACCTTAAAGATCACCTACTTCCAACACCACTGCCATAGGCTGGGACGCCACCCACTAGATCAGGTTGCTTAGGGCCTCATCCAACCTGATCTTGAACACTTCCAGGGATAGGCCTTCCACAAAATCTCTGGGCAACCTATTCCAGTGCCTCAGCACCCTCTGAGTGAAGAATTTCCTCTTACCTTCTAATCTAAATCTCCCCTCTTTTAGGTTAAAGCCATTCCCCCTTGTCATGTCACTATCTGATTGAGCAAAGAGTCGCTCTCCATCTTTTTTATAAGGTCCCTTTAACTACTGAAAAGCCACAATGAGGTCACGCCAGAGACTTCTCTTTTTCAGGCTGAACAGCCCCAGCTCTGTCAGCCTTTCTTCACAAGAAAGGTGCTCCAGCCTTCTGATTATCTTTGTGGCCCTACTCTGGACCCATTCTAACATCCTTCTTATGCTGGGGGCCCCAGACCTGGATGCAGAAATCCAAGTGAGGCCTCAGAAGGGCAGAGTAGAGGATGACAATCACCTCCCTCGACCTGCTGGCAACTCCTCTGTTGATGCATTCCAGGATGCAGTTGGCTTTCTGGGCTGCACACATGCACTGCCAGTTTATGTCAAAATTTTCATCCACCAGAACCCTGCGGTCCTTCTTTGCAGGGCTGCTCTCAGTGAGTTATTCTCCCAGACTGTCCTCATGTCTGGAATTGCCCCAACCTGGGTGACTTCTCAAGCTTGTCCAAATCCCTTTGGATGTTATCCCTTCCTTCTATTGTATCAACTGCACCACTCAGCTTGGTGTCATCTGCAAATTTGCTGAGGGTGCACTCAGTCCCACTGTCTATGATGTTGATAAAGGTAATCAAAAGTACTGGTCCCAGGAAAGACCCATGAGGGACATCACTCGTCACTAGCCTCCACTTAGACATAGAGCCATTGACCACCACACTCTGGGTGTGACCTTCAAGTCAACTTCTTATCTACTGAGTGGACCACCAATCAAATCCATCTCTCTCCAATTTGGAGATCAGGATGTCATGTGGGAACATGTTAAAGGACTTACAGAAATCCAGGTAGATGACATTGGTTGGTCTTCCCTTGTCAACTGATGCAGTCACTCCATCATAGAAGGTCACCAGTTTGGTCAGGCACGTTTTACCCTTGGTGAAGCCATGTTGTCTGTCTCGGATGTTCCTTGTACCTCTTTGTCTTGCATGTGCCTCGACATTGCTTCCAGGAGGATCTGCCCCGTGATCTTGCCAGGTACAGAGGTGAGGTTCACCAGTCCATAGTTCCCTGGGTCCTCCTTTCCTCTCTTTTTAAAAATTGGAGTGATGTTTCCCTTTTTCCAGTCACTAGGGACTTCACCTGACTGCCAGGACTTGTCAAATGTGATGAACAGAGGCTTAGCAACTTCATCAGCCAATTCCTTCCAGACCCTGAGATGCATGCCATCAGGCCCTATAGACTTGTACATGTTTATTTTCATCAGGTGGTCTCGAACTTACTCTTTGCTTACCATTAGAGGGACTTTGCTCCCCCAGCCTTCATATATGGGCTCAGGGAAACAAAAGACTTGGGAAACCTGACTGGCAGTGAAGACTGAGGCAAAGAAATTGCAGAGTAACTCAGCCTTCTCCATACCTGTTGTTACCAGTTCACACTTCTCATCTATCAGAGGGGCTACACACTCCTTGGCCTTTCTTTTCTAAGCAACGTACCTTCCTGTTATTCTCTGCATCCCTTGCTAAGCTCAGTTCCATATGTACCTTGGCTTTCTTTATCCCATCCCTGCACATCCAGACTGCATCCTTGCACTCTTCCCAGGCCATGTGTCCCTGCTTCCACTGCCTGTGCATTTCCTTCTTGTGCCTCAGTTTGCCCAGCAGGTCTTTGCTCAGCCATCCTGGTTTTCTGTCCTCCCTGCCCACATTTTTACATAGGGGGTGGATAGTTCTTGCGCTCTAATGAAAATATCCTTAAAGAGTTGCTAGCTCTGTTCAGCCCCTTTGTCCCTAAGGACAGTGTTCCCCAGGATCTCATCCACTAGATCTTTAAACAGGTCTTGAAGCTCATTCGTCGTAAGTTCAGGGTCCTGACTTTGCTCTTTGCCAGTTCTGTATTCCTTGAGATCACAAACTTAACCAGGATGTGGTCACTGCAGCCCAGACTGCCTTCAGTCTTGACCTCTTTAATGAGCTCTTCCGTGTTGGTGAGCACCAGGTCAAATAACAATTCTCCAACATCTGGCAACACTTCATGACATGTTAACAATATGTAATCAATCATGCTAATGGCATACTGTAAAAAGGCTACAAGCCACACAGCTACACAAAATGTGAAGTATAAACTTCTGGGACCAAGCATAGGGAACTGGAGTCTCATATCAACCTCATTGTGATGACTGAAAAAATACAAATTAAGAGAAAAACTACTCGCAACACTTCAAGACATTTCAATTAGTGGGGGAAAAAATAAAATAAAATCAACATGTTTCCTGAAACATACTGCAACAAATGAAACTTGCAAAACAATTCCATTGGTGCTAAGATGTTTGAAAAGGTCATAGCCTCTCATATCTGGAGGCAATCACAAATGAGTGGTTCATGGGTTCTGTGCAAGTCAGAGTTATTGCATATTCAGGGTTTTATTTGATGATATATATTTAAAGATTTTTTACAAAATAAAATATCTCAAATAGACCCTAATGTTGATTTCCTATTTGTGGGAACCTGAGCAGAATACAGAATAAATTCAGTGATAGAAGGAAAGGATGGCATTGGGGAAACTGCAGAAATTGGATTCTAATCATAGGGGAAAATATGTAAAAATCCAGGCTTCAATTCTGTCAGTGTTTAATTACATACATTATTTAATAGAGGCAAATAAATCCCATCAGGAACCCAATGGCTGTATCCATGTAGTTGTATAGAACAGCCACTTCAGAGCAAGTCTGAGTTCAAACTTGTTGCCTATTCATAAAGAATAGCTGCAGAAATACCCTACTGACTCCCAGTCATGACACCTCCTGGTATTTCCAAAAGAAAACCTCAGGTACGTTGTCTAGTCTTTGCAGTGCACAAAGGGCTGGACACTCTATACAGCTCCAGTTTTCCTATGCACCCATGCTGTGATGATACTTCCTGGTGCATATATAAATGGAAAGGAGAGGGGAGGGGAGGAGAAGGGGCAGGGCTTGGGAAGATATCTTTCTTACTCAAATTAAACTTCATCTTTGGTGACTTCTGATTTTAAAGTCTTCTTCCTGTCTAAGTCATTTTAAGAGAAATGCATTTTATCCATGAACGTCACTGAATGCTGCAGGTGAGGAAAACTTTATCATTCCTTTCATAAAGAGCATAAAGTTGAAGCAGAGAATGTGGATTCATAAGATCACTTTGCCAATGGCAAGCCTACAAAGTTGTGTCATTTTTATAGGATTTGAAGGCACCCTATCGTTGAGGTGTTTCTGGTCTCCTTTCAAAAATATTGACACCATTTGAGTGCATGATGTCTGTGATTCATTAATAGGGGATATACAGATGGGAAGTATAATTCAGTAAATGAGGTTACTTTCACTTACTTTGATCAGCCCAAAGTGCTCTAGAATTACTTCAGTGTGATTAGGGGCCTATTATGGATATTATGCTGAATAAATTAGAAATACTAGAATGCCTAAATGAGCAATGTTTATTGCAACAAATTGAGATTGGGGAGGGGTGGGGGACACATCTCAATTACTTTTTTTTTTTTTTTTTTCCTAGACTGCTAATATGTCTTCTAACACTATACCGTGCTTAGATTATCTCACCAGAGGGGGAAGTAACTACGACCATAGCACACTCCTGTTGCAATAAAGTTGTAACAAGCACTATGTTGGAGCATCTGTCTTCCACGGTAACTTTTTCTATTTCAGTAAATACAGACCTCCAGACTTTTATATACATGCTTAATTGTTTGTACAGGAATACGCAGACTGTAGTCTATAGGAGTATTCATATGCTTAGAGTTAAGAACATGCTTAAAAATTTCCGGGACTGGGGCCTGCCTTTTCCCAGTGGAGAATTATGCTCTTACACAGGCTTTCCCCCCTGTGTGCTTGCATAAATCTGTCCCTTTAAGTTTTACAGAGGCAAACTGCTCCAGTCTTACCGTAGCCATTTTGCAACTGCTGGCTGCTTGGTGCCTGTTCTGTCTCCTAACTGGTTAGTTCCTGTTATGCTTTTCCACAGCTCTCTCTTTCTTACTCCTGCGTCTCACACATGTGATTGAAAAAGGTTCATCCAGCGGTAAGTCTGACTTTTCTTTTGTGTCTGATCATGGTGAAAATGCTGTAACACATCATTTACTAGTATTAAAAGAATGTCCATAGCCTTTAAAATTTGTCTCTATTCTTTAGCCAGTAGTGAGGAGAAGGATCTGTTCCAGTTTGCAGCACATTGGCAGATTATATTGATTAAACTGTCTTCTGTAGACTCTTTCCTTTTCAATTTTAAGTAAGATTTTTGTTTTCCTCTCAAAGGCTCAGTGCTTTGCTGTCATTGGTAACTACTTAAAACAGGTGCGAGACAGGTTCCCTATTTATGATGTAAGTAAATTTCATTCACATCTAACTGCTTTGCAGTACTCTTGGATATAAAAATAAAAAGTAGAGGTAACAGCTAAAGGTGACAAGAGGCAAGATATGCTGCATCTCAAGCAGATGTCAATGGATGCCGTTCACAAATCTGTATCACACACTGATTCACTACACAAGCAGTGAATGCTTCCACCTTTGATACATATATTGTGTGAGAAAACAATCTGGATTCCACTGAAATAGTTTCTGAATAGTAATATGGAATAACACAAGAATAATAAGCATATTGGAATAATAATGCTAGATAAATAAAGCATAACATTTGCAAAGATTAGGAAGCCTGACTTCCATCATAAATCAGGAGTTTAAATAGAAAGAACTATCAGGCTTGTCTACAAATTAATGTTTAACGTAGCAGGAAGGGATCTACACAATCTTCTTATATGAATGCTGTTAGTCAGTAGGAAACTCATCAGTAAGCTCAGCCAGATAGCCTTCTATTCCAGCATGCCAATATCTTGTCCCCGAGGAGCATGTGAGTAGTAGCTAGTGAATCATAGAGCAGTCAGCCGCTTCACTGAAAGATGATGGTCAGAATACTGCTTCAGGATTGTTCCAAGCTATGCACAGGGTTTTGAAGAGCTTCTAAGACTGTAAAATGAAAACCTGAAATTTGTCAATACTTTGCATTTGTTATTTACTGCAGCTTGAAAGAAAAATCTAGGAGTGCCTGGAGTTGTGATAGTGAGGAACACTGAGCTGTCAGAAAGAAGAGTGCAGAAAGGCAGACAGTAGCAAAGGCTATGGTCCCTGCTGTTACAAAATGTGATGGGTGAGAAGGAAGGGTCAGGAAGTGCATAGAATGTTGTCAGCTCCTGAGCTTATGGAGCAAGCTTGTGGAGCTACTGCATCTTGTGACTTATGGTTTGTCTGCGGTCCTTTGAATGTCAACAGCTCTCACTCCCAAGTTGAAAGGCCACTAACAGATGAATAACTAACTCCTTGCAATAGCCATAGCAACACTTTTCTTGCATTGCATCAGGTGTACTTCTGAACAAAAGTGCATACAAGTACAATTTAATTAGTCTGAATCATAGTATATTTAACGTGTGTGCTCTACACTTGGTGTACCACTACAATCATAGTAATCCTAAACTGTAGGGTCAAATGTGCTCATAGAAATGGAAGAAATGGAAGTGGTCTGGCTGAACCCTGGAACAGAACCTGTGTGTTCATTCCTACAGGATTGAAATGTATGTGGGTTTTGTTTTTCATTCACTGCTGGCAATGACTGCTTCCAGCATCCTGCCTTTGGTCCAGGTGCTGCAGGAAGTTTATTTTCCATGGACTAGCAGTCCAAAGGTTGCCTTTACAGGCAGCAGAAAACTTTATCTAGTACAGAAGATGTCTGTTTCCAAGCCCATGCAAATGTATTTTGATGTGCTGCCTTCCTACTCCTTGGCTTGTGTTATGGGAACAACATCAGTATAGTGGGAAATCCTTTTAAAACATCTAGTATTTCACTGTTACTTTGAAGATTGCTACGCTCGCCTGTGGAACAGAGCTGTGTTGCCATCTCAGTGGAATGCGATCTGTCCTTTCTCCACATGAAGCAGTACTGGCTTATGGCCTGGCAGAGCCTATTTCTGATAAAGCAGACGGTGTCTTTCCATTCAGCCACCTTTCATTCACCACCGAACAAAACTTTGTTCTGCCTTGCTGTACAGCTGTTATTTTACAGCTCTGTGTTCCTAGCTTATATTTTTAACTTCCAAAATGTCTTTCCCATTAGTGCTTTCCCATTTGATCTGTGTGGGTGGTCTTCAGCTTTCTGTCCTCAACTATTCCTTTAATTTAGTCAATCTTCTGCTAGTTTGTCTTGTCCCCTGCCCAGAACAGAAAAGGTTGATTGTCTTTGTTGATGATACTGAACTGAGAAGTGCTGTTGACTTTCTGGAGGGACAAGAGGTATTCTAGAGGGATCTATGTACATTGGAGCATTGTGTAATCATCAAAGACACGATGTTCAACATAAGTAAATGTTCTTCTGCACCTGGGACAGAGTAATGTTGAACACAGGCACTGACTGGGAGACAAGTGGCTGGAGAGCAGCTCAGCAGAAAGGGATCTGGGGGTGCTGGCTGGCAGCAGGCTCAACACGAGCCAGCAGTGTGCCCTGGCAGACAAGAGGGCAAAGTGCATTTTGGGGTGCATTAAACACAGCATAGCCAGCTGGTCAAAAGAGGTGATTCTCCCGCTATATTTAGTGTCAGTGTGGCCTCACCTCAAATACTGCATGCAGTTCTAGGCTCCACAATATAAAAAGGAAATTAAGGCCCTTGAAATCATCCAGAGAAAGGCAAAAAACCTGGTAAATGGGCTAGAAGGCATGCCCTGTGAGGTGAGGCTGAGGACACTTTGGTTGTCTAGTATGGAGAAAAGCAGGCTGACAGGCAACCTCACTGCTCTCTGCCACTTCCTGAGAGGAAGTGGATAGGGAGGTGCTGGCCTCTTCTCTCTGTTAACTAATGACAGGACAAGCATAAATGGCACAAAGCTGCACCAAGGGAGGTTCAGACTAGATATAATGAAAAATTTATTTGCTGTGAGGGTGGTCGAACCCTGAAACAGGTTTCCTAGGGAGGTGGTTTATGCCCCACAACCGTCAGTGTTCAAGAGTCATTTGAATAATGACCTCAGTAATTATTTTACCCAATTTGTCAGCTTTGTTCTAAACTGCCAATTTTTATTTGAGAGCAGGCATTTTGTCACCACTGCCAAATGACTGAAGAAACTGATTCTTCCTCCATTTCTCTCACCCTCTCTTTTTTCACTCTATGCAGCTGTTTCCTGAGGTTTCCATTTCCTCCATGTGCTGTTCCATGACCTCTTTCATTTTTGGTCAGTGTTGACAGAGTTAACTAACTAGGAAAGATAGCAACAACAATCTGGTTTACCCTAAGCAACACCTTGTAGTTCAACTCTCATTTAAAACTGTTTGGCTTTTTCAGAAATATCAGTAGATTCTTGTGTCCAAGCTGATAACTTGTTCTTTAACTACATTGGATAAACTTCCCTGTATTAGTTGTGACCATTTCCCAGCCCCTTCAAGGTAACCAAAACAGAGATACTTCCATTCATAACCAGAAAGTAGCTGTGGATGGGAAAGAGCTGTGAAAGCAAGTCTTAGTGCTATCTTAACAGCAATATGTCAGCTTCAGTGACAGCTACTATTCCTTTTCTTTTAACACCTCTGGATCTCCAGAGTGATGGATGATCATCTATTCTGACAGTGGAGATGACATTAAACAGTATCTAAAGTCAAAAGTGCAGGGAAGAACCACACAGGAAGATGCAGAAAGGAAAAAAGCCCTAGTAAATTCATTATTACCATATGAAATTTTACATCTGAATTATGCACTTTGTTAATGGATGATGTTTAGGTCCTTCCCTTTTGTATGCAGTTGGCATTCAGCAAAATAGTATGAGAGGACAAAAGTGTGACTTTTATGTCATGGGCCCTTTTATGGTCTTATGCTGGAGGAATCTCTCAGCTTTCCAAAAGTCTGCTTTAAATCTTCCATGAAGTTCTGGATTTGTCTGCCATGGAGGTGGAAGGGCTTAGGACCTCATTGTAGCAATGAGCTTAAGTCTTGGATAGGGGATATGAATAGTAGGAAGGGTAAATCCTGAGAAAGCAGGTAGCTTTCACTGGGCATGTCACTTGAAGTAGCAGCTTTCTAAGCAGCTTAATGAATGAGAGTCACTAAGCAAAGAAGAAGTGGTCTCAAATAATTACCCCCAACACTTTCTCTTATCTCTCCTCAGCATCTTTTAGAGAGTGCTGCTGCCAAACACCTCATTGGATGGGAAGTAGCCGTTTTGCCTTCAAACGTGGGATGTAAGCATCTAAGTCACTGAGGTGGTCTTGATAATTACCTCAGATCTATAGCTGTTTCTGCAGTTACCCATAGAACAGCTTCTTCCCTTTGGTTGAAGCACATTTCCAGTTATCTTTGCATGTTATTCATATTCCTTTCACCAGCTCCCTGTCCAGGTGACTGTTTTCATATCCAAGTCTATTTGCATGTCTTTTTCAAGTAAGAATTTGTGAAGTACTGCCAAATGTTTTACTGCACTCTAGATACTGCTTTATCTGCTAATTTTATCCTTTGATTAAAAAAAGGTGTTATTTGGTGTGTTTTGTTTGTTTGTTTTTGGGTTGTTTGGTTGATATTTTTTATCCTGCAAATCTACTGAAATTTTATGGAGCTTTTTACAAGCTTCCATGAATCTTGGACTAGGTCTTACAAAAAAAAAAAAAAAAAAAAGTTGTTGATGTTGTTGTTTGTTTGTTTTGTTTTACTTTGTTTTGTTTGTTTGTTTGTTTGTTTTTGGGTGGGTTGCAAGGAAAGAGTGGGTGGATCACTATTATTTCCAGTAATAAAATCACTAAGGAACCTTATCATTGCCCTGGTTTATAGAAACATCTAAGTGTGTGTTTAGCTTTAATCATGGAGTTAATCTTACCAGCTTCAAGATAGCTATTCTTCTCTTTAAAATTGAACATATGCTTAAGTGCTATCTTGGACCAAGACCTAGGTAAGCAGACTGAATGAACTAAATCCACTTAAATGCAGATGAGTGATGGAACTAGCTCTTCAGTAAATCCTAACTGTGTATTATTTTTTTTTTGAAGAATGAGTCTAT